AAGTTCTTATACGAATCGCAACTCAAAAAGGTTTGCAATTACCTGTAATTCACTAAAACTAATGTAAAGTAACATAAATTCGGTGTCTTTTGAATAGTATGACAAACCGGGAGACATAACAGTTCCCACAGAGTTCTCGCATATTCTTCAAGAAAATGTCGATTTTATGACATCATTAGCCGAAAGACATTATTATAACTGTGAATATCAGCAGTGCTTTAAAATAACCTCTCAGTAAGTTATCAGTTGCTTACAAATTGGAATTAATTTTAGATTATCTCTAATCGTTAAGAGTTTTAACGCGAGATATCTATCACACACAATGCCTTCCCATCCATTTGTCGTGTCTCATGGAGTTGAAGAAAACAAACGGTCAGTCCTTTGCTATAAATTGAATCCATTTCTCACACCATTAACACTGTGTTTGCCATTCAAACAGCACTTTTCGATTTGGCGCATAAACTGGTGGATCTCTACCCGGAGAGTTCTGTAAGTTTTTCAAAGTTTGAAATGTTTTTGCAAATTGTTATCTAATAAAACGTGTGGACAGTTGTCGTGGTTCGCTGTGGGATGTTATTACCTACTGATTAACAAAACAGATGCCGCGCGAAGATTCCTCAGCAAAGCTACCACTTTGGACAATGTGTTGGCGCCGGCATGGCTTCTGTACGGACACTCATTCGCGGTGGAGAGCGAACACGACCAGGCGATGGCCGCTTACTTCAAGGCCTCGCATCTTATGAGGGGCTGTCATCTGCCGCTCCTGTATATCGGTTTAGAGTACGGCTTAACCGATAACACCAAACTCGCCGAACGCTTCTTCAAGCAGGCGCTCGAAATCGCACCAAACGATCCGTTTGTTTTGCATGAGTTGGGAGTCATTGCATACCAGAGCTCTAAGTTTGTTGAACTACTCGAAGGCTTTGATTTAATGATTGTTTGCTTTTATAGTTTCACTTCCGCTGAAAAACACTTTAGAGACGCTTTGAATATAATTAAGAATAGGAAAGAGATAACAGTATTGCCCGACAAATGGGAACCACTTCTTAATAATATGGGACATGTCTTAAGGAAATTAAAGTATTAGTCATTAAATTCATTTGATATGTGTTTTACTAAATTGTTTATAATTATAGGAAATACGAAGAAGCCATCGATTTTCATAAACAGGCTCTCATTCTGTCGCCACAGAATCCGTCCACTTATTCTGCACTCGGATTTGTGTACAGTTTGATGACTAAGTGGAATGAATCCGTCGAATACTTCCATAAGGTTTGCATTCATTTCATGCTTTTCTATTGAATCAAACATTTCATTTGAATGGTAGGCCTTAGGCTTGAAACGAGACGACTCCTTCTCGACCACAATGTTAGGCCACGCCATCGAACATCTGGTCACTGAGATCTCCATATTTCAGGGTTTGTGTCAAAACATGCTTTTATTGATTCACCATTTGATTCGTTGATTGTCGTTATGTTTTAGATTCCGATAACACGGCTGAAAATGCTGTTAAATATGAACAACAAATAGCAATCAATGAATTCTTAGTGTCCAAAGCCAATGAAGAGAAGAGTTTACCGAATATTAAGATCACTTCCAATAGATCCAAATCTAATATAATGAACACAACAATACAATCAATTGATACTTCATTACCAGATCTAAGCGCTAATGACTGCGAAATGGATATAAGCAACTGATTCACAGATTTTAATCATTCAAAACATTTATTTTTAACAAAAATGTATTTACAAATTAATTAAACACTCATTTGCTTAAACATGATTTGACTGTATGTCCACAACAGTGGGCGCCTCGTCGTCCAGTTCTGAACTGAAATCCCATTTAAAGTTTTTGGTTAAAAACTGTTTAAATCTGAGGCCCCTTTTCCTCAGATTTTCATTCACTTTGGGATTTGACTCAATGTTTGAGAAGAAAGTTCTCAAAAATATGACCAAAAAGTTATTGTTTTCGACGATATCAGCGAATAACTGGTGAGGAGTTTGTTTGAGTTGGAAGTGTAAGACTCGGATGAAGTTTAAGTAAAAGTTGGTGTGTTTTATGATCGAGTTTTCACCGAAACATAAAATCTTAAGCAATTGTCTCCAGTATTCAAACGAATCGAAGACGTGTCCGATAATGAATGTCACGAAAGAGAACTGCAATTCACCCAAAATGTCGTCCATTTGGTCCCACTTCGAGGCAATGGTCTCCAGTGTGTAGGAGCTGTCCATCGAGTGCTGAGAAATCTGTGAAGCACTCGACTCCGACGGATACAGAAAATGTTTGGGTATGTCATTGAAATTGATTACACAATTGGGTTCCCTTTCCATGACTGGCAGTCCATCCGAATCAGTCTCAATGTTCTTCCGGTCGACAGTCTGTCCACAAATGGGTATCAATTGAGTCACTGATACTATTCGTCCGCACTTTGGGTTCAGTCGATTGAACACCGATTCTGTGATATAGTCCGTGAGTCCGACCCAATCAGCATAAGTGGAGAACTGATAGGCGCCTAAACACGTGTCCAGAGACCCATTCCTCACATTATCACTATATCTCTGCAATTGCGACAAATCGTTGTATTCTTCTTCGATGTCTTCATTCAATTGATTCCATTTCCTGACAATGAGTTCCTTATGAGAAAAGTATCGGAAGAATCCCATTCTTGGGGCAACGGTTCCCTCTTTGGACACAGAGCTATAGTGAATGAAGTGAAGTCCCGGTGCGATCAGCTTAAGACCCATAAACTTGTGGCCAATGTTATAGACATTGAGATCAATGCCTAATTGGGTCCCCAGAGGAATGTCTTCAATGATTAGAGTCGAGCACTCATTGACCAGACGTTGGGCTGTCGTGTCATCGAAGTCATCGGTCGTCGGATATGATAACCGACTGCTTGTGTCCTCACGTGAAGAACTGGCCATTGATTACGATTTCAATGAGTTTTATGTCAAACAAATGGTTTGCATTTGAAAATGAATTTAAAGTTTTGTCTGAAAACGAGTCCATAAATGATGTGATAATGTGTTTGACTTCTAATTGTATTTAACGTTAACATCGATTCAAACAAACATTCATTTAATTTGTAAATCATTTGGAAAGCAATGAATCGATGACTCAATCACTCATTCATTCAATGAATTTAATCCACAAATCAATTGACAATTCATTAGAAGACGTCTTTTATTGTCGTCGTTTGCATCGATGGTAAGCATTGTTTGCGTATTGAAGACATCACTGAATTGATCGCAAAGTGAGTGACAGATAAGACATTTGGAGGACAATGTCCGGCGAGAGTCCTCAACACCAGAACCCTATTCTCAACGAATTGAAGAACTTTTTGCAATTCGTTTGCGAAGAGAAGAGCTGTTCCGTCGAATCGGTTCTCAACTCAAGTCTAACTCTTGTGACGGGATGTCCGTCCAGTCGGGAAGCGGTCCTCCAGTTCTACTCTCAGCTCTTCGATGAATATTGTGCTGAATATTGTGTCTTGAATTCAGTGAATGGGTTGCCATCGAGTGACAGATCAGTTGATGGCCAAAGAGTTGGACCCATTATCTCGCGATTCATTTCGGCCCAAAAGAGCTCAACGAATGGTACTCTGAATGCCAACGATTTGGTGAACATCCGGAAGGTTTCCACTGATTCCAGGCGACAGTCCATGGATTGCAGTGAAGAGTCGAAGGCGAGCGCGAGTCTGGACTGTCCTCAGAGTCCAACGGCTGTCACGTCTGCGCCGATGGAGTCGTTGAGTGACACGAAGACCGACCACAACAACGAGTTGAATGAAGTGATGATTGGACTCGACTTCCAGTTTATAAGAGTCAGCGAATCGTTACTCACTTTAATTGAAAGCGAATCCAACTCTTCATTCGCCAAATCCATAACCGATTGGGCGCTCGAATTGGCCGCGAAGTTGAGCGCAAAATACGGCGGATTCGGTCAAAACGTGTCCAACACTTCCCCACAGACTTCCGGTCAGACGGACCCCAATGTGTCGTTGAGTTCTTCGTTGGCCTTTTGGATGCAATGCCCGGCAATGCAGGCGCTCACAAACCTTACCATCAGAAGCAATACCATAGAACTGGAAGGTCTGGTCAAACAAATGCTTCAATACTCACCGCATTGTGATTGGATTCTCGCACATCTCATCACAACGATGTCCAACAACTCCCGGTTCACCTCATATATCGAGCAACTCATTCAAAACGCCACGTCTTCGCCATCCGTCACATGTATTCTCTCGTATTTGTCTGAACACAACCCCAGAGCTATCGTCGCGTCCTCCAAGTCTAACATTCCGTTTCTCCTGAAGTTAAGCACAAACTCTAAGCCACTGTTAGACCTGTTGGTCGCAGAGGCCACCAAACAATGTATGCATTCAAACACTTCTCAATTACTATTACCGGTAATAACTTCTTGATATTAATTTTGATAACTTTTTAGATAATATAAAAGCATTGAATGAGTTGGTGGTGACGACCAAAGCCGAAGACCTCAACGATAACATCATATATTGCATTACAAACGCTGCAAATGCTTTCGATTTGTTGAGAATTGCATTCGACATATCAGTGCACACGGAGGCCAGTGATGAGCTCAAGAGCCGCACTTTAGCCATATTGTCGGCCATTATATCACACATCCATTCGTTCGTCTACGGGTCAAATCAGACGCTGACAAACAGTCCGCCGATTCTCGATCTACTGAAGAGCAATGTGTGCGGACTTGTCGTCCATTCCGTGAAGACAACGAACCCATCCCTAAGACGCCTTCAGTTACGACTTTTGCATTTACTTTGTCTCCATTACAGCACAGAATTTGTGACCGAAATGTTTCATTACATTCTGTCCACACATTTGCATAATATTAACACAAATTCATTCAAGAATCCAGTTTCCAATCCACTGTTATCTCCATTAATGAAATCATTGAAACTTCAATTCGGAACTCAAATGCATAGCTGTTTGAGTGATACTCTGCGCCTACCCTTTGAAAAGAGTGTCAACTATTGGGCTCACCTTTTGGCTGCTGTGGAGGCCGAGTCCGTGTGTGTGGACGTCGACCTCTTGTGTTCATTCTTTTCAGATACTAATTTTGAGTCGAAAACCAAAATATTTATAAAATATTATATTTTACGGCTTTTGTTGCATACAATGGAAAAGTTTCCCAAACGGATAATCAAACCACAGCACAGACTCTGTTTGTCACTCGTTTCGACTTATTTTAAATTAATTGAATTACAGAACAATTGTCTGGACAGCGAACTCGACGTCTATATGGAAACACTGATCACATGCCAGAAGTCGATGACTATTTTAGCCAAATGTTATGACATTAACCAACACATCCTCTCACGAACTCTGCTTGAATTAAGTCTTGAAAAGAATCATCTGTTTTGCAAAACTCCGAACAAAAATCAGTTAAAATCAAAGATCTCTTCGTTTGCGGCAATAAATCTGATGAAAGAGAACTGTTCCTACGATTTGGGTAATTCTAAGTCCAGGAAAATACCACTCATTTCCAACAAACCAGACATCGATTTCAATCATTTGAATTCAAATGAAGAGACTTTAATAGTGAACCAACAGTTAGTTTTAGACGCTTTTCGGTGTTGTGTCAAAAAGAAAGGTCAGTATTTAGAGAAGTGCTCACAAATCACTTTCTATCCATATTCCAGACTGTGGTCATACACCTGTCCACAACATAATATCTATACCTGTACTGTCATATAAATAATCGTTTTGTTTGTCACAGATATGACATCATTTGCCAAACTTTTGGTTCAATGCGTTTCACCCGATCTTCTATTCAATGAGAACCTGTGGGGCGACGAAGACCCCAGAGATGGACAGCTTCAGAGTCTTCGGGTATTCATTATATTTGACAGTTTATAGTAAAACTAAACACTTGTGTTGTGTTGTGTCCAACAAATGACTCGAATTGAAACCTTTTGAATGCTTTTTAGATTACAATAGAGAGAGATCTGTTTATTTGGCGCGCCTTTAACGCCAACCCTTTGCTCTGGGATTTATGTGAACTCATTGGTAAAGCCGAGTGTTTGAATCACTGTCTGGTATTAATCCGGGCCCTCATGACTGTCCAGCGAACTCATTGGGCATCCACTTCGTTGACCAAAGAAAATATTTTCGAAACTCAACGGTATTTCCATTTGACTTATAACTTGAAATTTGTTTTAAAAGTTTGATTTCTTGAATAGACTGTTGACTCTGTTGTCGAGTACAGGTATTCTTCCGGCCGAACCGTTCAGTCATGTGGCGGCTGTGTTGTCACAATTGCAGGCCTGGGAGGTGTCCTGTATTCTCAATGATATCTGTAAATACCTTAAAGACTCGACTTTGGGTCAATTGGATGCTTGAATTAAGTCTTGAAAAGAATCATCTGTTTTGCAAAACTCCGAACAAAAATCAGTTAAAATCAAAGATCTCTTCGTTTGCGGCAATAAATCTGATGAAAGAGAACTGTTCCTACGATTTGGGAAATTCTAAGTCCAGGAAAATACCACTCATTTCCAACAAACCAGATATCGATTTCAATCATTTGAATTCAAATGAAGAGACTTTAATAGTGAACCAACAGTTAGTTTTAGACGCTTTTCGGTGTTGTGTCAAAAAGAAAGGTCAGTATTTAGAGAAGTGCTTACAATTACTTTCTACCCATATTCCAGACTGTGGTCATACACCTGTCCATAACATAATATCTATACCTGTACTCATAAAATGCTTGTCATATAAATAATCGTTTTGTTTGTCACAGACATGACATCATTTGCCAAACTTTTGGTTCAATGCGTTTCACCCGATCTTCTATTCAATGAGAACTTGTGGGGCGACGAAGACCCCAGAGATGGACAGCTTCAGAGTCTTCGGGTATTCCTTATATTTGACAGTTTATAGTAAAACTAAACACTTGTGTTGTGTTGTGTCCAACAAATGACTCGAATTGAAACCTTTTGAATGCCATTTAGATTACAATAGAGAGAGATCTGTTTATTTGGCGCGCCTTTAACGCCAACCCATTGCTCTGGGATTTATGTGAACTCATTGGTAAAGCCGAGTGTTTGAATCACTGTCTGGTATTAATCCGGGCCCTCATGACTGTCCAGCGAACTCATTGGGCGTCCACTTCGTTGACCAAAGAAAATATTTTCGAAACTCAACGGTATTTCCATTTGACTTATAACTTGAACTTTGTTTTAAAAGTTTGATTTCTTGTATAGACTGTTGACTCTGTTGTCGAGTACTGGTATTCTTCCGGCCGAACCGTTCAGTCATGTGGCGGCTGTGTTGTCACAATTGCAGGCCTGGGAGGTGTCCTGTATTCTCAATGATATCTGTAAATACCTTAAAGACTCGACTTTGGGTCAATTGGAAGGGCAGTCGTTGAAGCCATATGTGGAACGGCTTCGTATAATAATGGCTCATAACCTCCCGGGCCCTCTGTTTGTCAATATATTCAGAGGACTTAAATGATATGAAACTTCTGTTTTATTTTGTAATTATTTTTCTAACATTTATTTATAGTTTTATTCATTATTACGAATTCGACGAAAATATGATATCTATTCCTAAAATAAATACATTTCCTGCAAATTATGTCAAATAAAGAGATATTTAAATATAATTTGAATTTTTTCAATAAACCTTTTGATGACTAAATGGCAATGAAATCATTGATTCATTCATTGATAAGCATTACATAACTGACATCAAGTGTATTGACTGAGTGTTACGTACTTTGTCTGCAAACGGATAATCCCTTCATTAGTGTCACTCTCACTGGCATTGAGTGACCATTGAATCCATTGAATCCACTCATTGTCTCCACAACTCTGTCATCAATTGATTCGCAACTACTTATGGCTCATGTCTTCACCTGATTTGCCCATCAGAACAGTGTTCAAGAAGTAAACAATCATTTCCTGAGTGTCACATCAGATGACAATTTGGTGCCAAAGAAAGTGATAAACAATCGTTTGATTTGTTAGTAAAGACACATTGGTTTGGTTGACACCCAATGGATCCCAAGAGTGGTATGGATTACAACTCGTACTCATTCAGCGGCAGTCAATCGAGTTCTTCGCCGTCCATCGAGACTAAAGACTCATTGCATTCGTCGCCATTCAAGTCAATCGCATCGAACTCTTCGTCGACAACGACATCGACGGACAAAACGAAGCCATCGGTTAGTATGCGGTCGCGAAATGTGACCCAAAATAACGCAGACATGAGTTCCAGCGGCGGTCAGCGGTCAGAAGTGCCGCTCTTTCCCGGGGAGACAATCGTCGGTAACCTTCGGGCCAGAGATGTGACGTATTTGTGTCCATACTTCGGACCAATTCGTGGATCACTTTATATCACGAATTATAAGCTATACTTCAAGAGCAACGAAAGCGACGCCGAAAACCTGTCGGTTCCGCTCTGTTGTGTCTCCCGTATAGAGAAGGTCGGCGGCGCCACCTCTAAGGGCGAGAACTCCTATGGCATCGACCTCTTGTGCAAAGACATGCGAAACCTGCGGTTCGCACACAAACAGGAGAACCACTCGCGTCGGGATGTCTTTGAGAAGTTGTCTCAGTTTGCGTTCCCGCTGTCCAACAAACTGCCGATCTTTGCCTTCGAGTATTCGGCCAAATATTCGGTGAACGGGTGGACGGCATACGCGCCGATCGCTGAGTACAAGCGCATGGGTTTACCCAACGAGAGCTGGAAGATCACCAAAATCAACGAGAACTACGAACTCTGCGACACTTATCCGGCAGATCTGGCCGTCCCGTCGGCCGCCAGCGACGACTACTTGCGATCTGTGGCCAGTTTTAGGAGTCGTGGCCGACTCCCGGTGCTGAGTTGGCTGCACCCCGAAAGTCAGGCCAGTATTACCCGATGTTCTCAGCCGTCGGTCGGTATGACTAACAAACGGAACAGAGATGACGAGTCGTACATCCAGATGATTATGGACGCCAACGCCCAGTCCCACAAGATCTTCATAATGGACGCCCGACCCATCGCTAACGCCGTGGCCAACAAAGCGCGCGGCGGAGGCTATGAGAGCGAAGAGCTCTACAGAAACGCGGAAATTAATTTTCTGGACATTCATAGCATTCATGTGATGCGAGAGAGTCTTCGGAAACTCAAAGAATTATGTTTTCCAGCCATTGGTGACGAACAGCACTGGTATTCAAACCTGGAATCGACTCATTGGTTAGAACACATCCGATCAATACTCGCCGGCACTCTTCGTATTGTCGACAAAATAGAGAACAACAAGACTTCAGTTGTGGTCCATTGCAGCGATGGTTGGGACCGAACGGCACAACTGACCAGTCTTTCCATGATATTACTCGACCCCTACTATCGGACTCTTAAGGGGTTTGAAGTTCTCATCGAAAAAGAGTGGATTAGTTTTGGCCATAAGTTTGCGCAACGCATCGGACATGGAGAGGACAAACACTCAGACGACAACCGGTCGCCAGTGTTCCTGCAGTTCATTGACTGCATTTGGCAGATCACCAAACAGTTCCCCAATGCCTTTGAATTCAACGAATACTTTTTGATCACAATTTTAGATCACTTATACGGATGTCTTTTCGGAACATTTCTCTGTAATTCCGAATATCAACGACACAAAGAGGAAGTGAAGACTAAGACCAAGTCTTTGTGGTCCTATACTAACAGCGAAGACAATATCGACGACTTCAAGAATCCTCTTTATACCAGTTATACGAAACAACACGTCCTGATGCCTGTGGCCAGTCTTCGGCGCATTCAGTTATGGACCGCATATTTTTGTCGATGGAATCCCAACCTTAGACCCCAAGAGCCCATTCAGACCCGCAATAAAGAGTTGCTTCTAATGCGCGCTGAGATCAAGAAAAGAAGCGATGATTTGCAGAAAGAATTGCAAACAAAGTTAACCCGAATAGGAGGAAACGGTGCCAATAATAACTCATCTGCCGGTGCCAGCGGTGGTGCCAACGCTGCCATTGCTGGCGCGTCGTCCACATCCGGTGTCTCAACCACTTCAGGGTTGGGGCGAATCACTTCAGTCATCTCTATATAACCTCTTAATCTATATTTTTAATTCAAATCATTCTCAAGACATCACTTCAACTAACAAATCATTTTTTAAAAGTAAGTAATCATTTCATTATTCATCTGTTATTTGTTAAACCAAATCCAAAATCAATTAAATGATGACATATTCTAAGAATCGACAAAATATTGTTAAGAAAACATTGATTTTGAATGATTTGTTGTAATCTTCTCTCTGAATGTATAGTAATTTATTTTATACTTAATTTTTTGTTTGAAATGTTTATAAACTAAAAACTATTATCTCTATTGATGACAGACATAGTGCCTAATCGGTGGACACTTCACTCCAATCGACCAAATGATCCAAATATTCTAACAGATTTGCAAATCTCGTTATCATTATTCCAATGGTTATACATTTAATCGATATTTTTGTATATTTTATAGATTTATGTATTTATTTGTCAACAATTTATTGCTTTAAATGTTTAATAAAATTAATACTGAATACAACCACTTCAGGGTTGGGGCGAATCACTTCAGTCATCTCTATATAACCTCTTAATCTATATTTTTAATTCAAATCATTCTCAAGACATCACTTCAACTAACAAATCATTTTTTAAAAGTAAGTAATTATTTCATTATTCATCTGTTATTTGTTAAACCAAATCCAAAATCAATTAAATGATGACATATTCTAAGAATCGACAAAATAGTGTTAAGAAAACATTGATTTTGAATGATTTGTTATAATCTTCTCTCTGAATGTATAGTAATTTATTTTATACTTATCGTTAGTTTTTTGTTTGAAATGTTTATAAACTAAAAACTATTATCTCTATTTATGACAGACATAGTGCCTAATCGGTGGACACTTCACTGCAATCGACCAAATGATTCAAATATTCTAACAGATATGCAAATCTCGTTATCATTATTCCAATGGTTATACATTTAATCGATATTTTTGTATATTTTATAGATTTATGTATTTATTTGTCAACAATTTATTGCTTTAAATGTTTAATAAAATTAATACTGAATTGAATTCAGAAATGTCTTAATATTCAATTGAATGCCTTTGTATCCAACATTACCGGAATCGTCCCATCAATGAGTGGTAATATATAATAACTAAATAATAAAACACATGTAATATAAAGAAAAATTTAATCTTTAATTTAAAAATTGCAGAAATTTTGCGTAAAATAAAACATATTTTGCATAATATTATGTAAAACTGAATCTAACAGCAATTGTCAATAATTGAAAGAATAGTTTGTTTTTAGAAAATATACAAAAAAGTGATCATTAGATCCCGAGAGTAAAGACCACAACCGATACCACCGCTCATATCATAAAATTAGGTTCTCTTCTATTATAACCATCACTTAAATCGTTAATATATTTATATATAAATACTGTATATATATATTGTATAAACTTATATATAATTTATATAAAGATGTTTAGAGTTTTAAACTAAATCTCAAATTCTGGTCGTTTTAGAGACTTAGAGATGAGTTGGTTTGAGGTTTTGTTTGAAAAGCGTTTCATTTTGTATAATAACATCAATTCATATCACAGTATTATTTCATATTATTTGATAACACAAACAGAATTTGAATGTATTTTATATTATTAGCAGAGGTCAGAGTCGATAGAATGCACTCAAAGGGGCGACTGATGGTGTGTTTGCACGTATGGACTCATGCCTTGTGGGCCGACCCCCAGACTGTGAGACATAGAATGGTTGTTGTGATCGCTTTGCAGTAAGTGATGACTTAATGGTGTGTGATGTGGGTGTGGATGGTGTGGGTGCAGGCCTTGTGACTGAGTCAGACCCGGACGCAACACATCGTCCACTGATGGGCAGTGAGGCCGCGGCCCGGGCTCTGGTGTGTACGTGAAGGTCAGTCCAGTGGCGTATATGACGCCATCGCTTCTCACGAGTGATACTTGAACTTGAGTTGGCTGTCGAACCCATTGCCAGCCCTCTCGGAAGGCTCCGATATCTGGAACCACACATAACATGCTTTCCTGACACCTATTTGGGAAACAAATGAGATATGAGTGAAAAGGGTGCGAATGAGTGGATGGATGGTGTGATGACTGACCGATACATAGTCTCCGCCTCGACGTCTCCGAACCACACTTTGAGGACAGGACTCAAGTTCTCTCCGGTCAGCTCAAGCATAGCTACATCGCCGCCACCGTTCAGATTGAGACTGTGAACGACAGGCACAGGTGTGACGGGTGAGTGGATGGGACCCATGCCCTCGTAGAAGGTGTACTCGGCTTTATCGGTGCTGATGATGGTCCAGGAGGCGCCGTCGTTTATCATCTCTTTATTAGGCTCTTTAGGACAGGGCGTCGCTTGGAATTGGATTATACGCTCTTGAGATAGACATAAATACATGCGTTCCGTATCTTTCATATAAAAGGCACATTTGTGGAGCTGAGACACCGGGTCGTCCGCGTCCAACAGCGCTGTCTGTTTGTCCACCTTTCGGATTATCTGCTCATTGCATACCACATCCCGTTTAGTCATTCAATTCATTTCAATACAATCATCGCTTAAGTATTACACTAATGTATAGCACTTTATAGGGATTTATATATAATTTTATATGAAATGTGCGCTGAATTATAGATTCAAATAGAAATTTGTGTCAAATTTAATTGTTATATACTTCGTGACTGTATGTTATATAAAAGCGATAATTAGTTGCAATTGTGTGTGGAATTAACTTATAAAAAGCAGTGAAAACTAATGATAATTCATTAGTTTAATCATTTGATTTCAAAGCAAATTCGTTCAAAATAATATTTTCTATTTTATATTAACTATTGTTTTTAAACTCAATTTAAGACCGAATTGGCGGTCATTAGATGGAAAAGGGAGAGAGAGAGAGAGAGAGAGAGAGAGACGAACACTTAATGTTAGTCTTAACGATCAAATAGACATTTCGACTCTAAACTGAAATAATTAGCTCTGATATGGAAATCAGATTTAAGATAAGAAATAAATTCTCACAAGTCTTGGGAGAGCCATCCCAGTGACAGAGCAGACCAGCTTAACAGTGGCGCCGTAATGGATGTAACCGTCCCTTACAGTGAATTCTTCGGATTCGGACTCGTTTTCATCCACTGTTTTAATGGCATTTCGTTATATCATTATTAACGTACAATTGAAATAAATGTTGCTTTAATTATAATAATTATGTGACAAATAGTTTTTAAGTCAGTCTCACACAAAATAATTGACAAACTGTGTGACTCACGTAAATGTATAGTGAAGGCCCCCCACTGGGTGGAGGAGGCGTGAAAATTGCCGTTCTCTACGTGTAGATATCTGGTGCTAACCGTTTGAGATCTCAACCGATTAAAGAGCGCCACTTTGGTTCCCGAAGCGATACATACTGTATATGCAAACAATTTCAAAATGATTTCAATTTTATGCGGGAAAGGTAGCAAAAGTGCAAATAATGAGACATATAGTAGACATATAGTGAGACATATAGTAGACATATAGTAGACATACGGTCGGCATTCTTGAGGGACTGCTTCTTCTTGGATGGCTTTGAGATAACTTTGATTCTGCGGCTAAAGAAGACACCGATATCTTCTCCATTGCCGTAAAACATCTTCACTGATAGCATGAAATGCTTTCTTTTGTCGGAATCACTGATATATAGGGTCTTTGCGGCGCAATAGTTCTGAAACACATTATCTCTCAGATTAGCATTCATTCAGATTTGTGCTGTTTTTGCAAAGCATTTCATTTGGGTTTAAATAAATGTATCAATTTTCAAGACCCGTCACCTTTTAAATACACCAAAAACCAAATAATAATAAACACAAATTAAACCCAAATGTGTTTCCCGTAAAAGTGTTGAAATAAGCGAACAAAAGAAAGTGAGGAAAGGGGTGCTTACGAGAGGACATACTTTGCCACTGAAGTCCAATTGTTGCATCTCTTGGTCCGAGTTTCCGATACCAATGAAGGCGCAGAGGTTTGCGTTCTGCTCGGAGACGCCGTTCATAATCATCTGCTCCTGACGTTTGGCCCATCCGTCGCCTAAGAGGTATATACAGGGCGGCGGACAGAAGAACCGCTTTTCGTTGCCGTATGACTTCTGCGCCACTTTGGCGTGAAGTATAATGATCTTCAGGTCGTCCTTCTCGCGGATGTATTTCCTCATCGCTTCTCTGGTCAGCCGTTGTTCGCCTCTTCGGCCCCGATGTCGGTCATCAATGGGCGGCGAAGGGGTGGGCATAGGGCTAGGAGGCGCGTGACCCTGCGGGGGCACCATTAGGCCCAGACCTCCGGAGTTGAGTGTCAGGAGTGAGTGTTGCGATTGATCTCGAGATGACTTATCTGTGAAATCAATAATTGTTTTATAAGAGATGCGTTGTATTGATAGTACAACTTATGTTTAATAAATTAACTTGATCATTCAATTCTATGCAATTGAATGCTTAGTTGTGTTTTTAGTAAAATTTACTGAATGTAAGCGAAAGTGTTGACTCGTATGTAATAATAAACCCAAAGTAGTAATTGATATGCGAATAGAATGGACTCGAAATACAATTACAAATACATATCAATTAAAGTTTGTGACTAAAAATAAATAAATGCCTTCTTGTCAACTAAATACTATAGTATAGTATTGGATGACAAAGTATAGTCTATAGTATAGTATAGTATTGGGTCAGGGATTTGAAAGCATAGTCTGACTGATGAAAGCTTTAGAAAACATTTAAACCCCTTAAATAGCTCTCAGTTGCAAAACATGTGCCAAACCACACATTGTATGGTTTGCAATGAGAGACAACTACTACTCTCTTATGATTCAATTTAATTGTTTAGCAAACGATATGGCAGTCAATTAATGGCTAAAATGGTAAAAATTGAATTAAACATACGCTGCGAACCCTTTGTTTCAATGATTTTGCCTTTTATTTAAAACAGAAAGCATTTGAGAGCTAAGAGTAAACACATGTCATATAATAGCGTTATTTCGGTTCAATTCGTCAAACAATACAATAGGAGTGAAAGCAATGGCTCTTAAGTGCAGTTCCATTAGATTTGACGGAATTGTCAAAACTTAAAGCTTTTATCACTGAAATTACTTTCACTACTTTCTCGCTCACAAATCTCGCAGAAAAAACACTTGCAATAGAAAAATCATTACAAATATTTCATACGTTAACGACAAGAATTGACATAAGAAATGCATACATGTATATACAAAGTAATATTGAATTTCATTTAATTCCAGCATTTAATGATATTTTCAGATAAAAGGGAAATTAAAAATGTGTATTCAATATAATGTCATCAGAAATGCATTCAATGAATACAAAGACAATAAAAATAATGCATGGAGAGATAAAAAAGCAAATTTAATGAGAATTTGAAAATTGCTTAAAAAATAGTAAACAACCGATTGTATTGATACAGTATATCCTTTGATAAGCAATAGGTTTACAATTATTAGAGAATATTATGAGACTATTGTTTAGCATTTGGAAAATGATTGTAAACCTCAATCGAGTGAAACATTTTCCCTTCACTACAGCAATCTTAGAGTGAAATTGAAAAAAGCAATACTTTAAGGCCTTTAAGTGTTGGTTCAGTGTATAGATTGGGTGTACATATAGGACTATAGGACTGATTCGATTCACTTTATATATTATAAAACTCAATAAATGTGAGCAAAAAGAAAATGTGGAGAAAAGAGAGAAACCGAGAAACAGGTGGACTCTTCTCACGATAGACAAGACCCACAGAATGTGTTGTACTCTGTATGCGATAAATGCATTACACATAACACACTGTATTCACTATTCAATGCAAAAGCTTTTCACTAAATTCTGTGTTATGGACTCAAACACGATATGCAATACTGACTGCACTTCACTTCAATATAACAGTACTGTTATTCTTATATGGCATTTTGCAGTAGTTTTTAGTTTTAATGATTTCCAAAATTAGACTTTGTTTTCAAGTAATTTCACTTAACTTAATAATACTGTCAATGAGTGCTTGATTTTAAAACAATGCATTTAAATGCGCTAAATATATGCATTAAAGCAAATGTTGAAGCGAATAATCGTTTTATAAAATAGAAATTACTTTTGCATTCATTTAAAGTTTAAACATAAAGATTCATACATGAAGTATAGTATAGAACTTAATATTAAAAATAGATAACAATTATCAGATTTACACCAAACAAACAAAGATTGCAAAATAAACTGAAACTCTATTTGTAAAGCAAACAGAGTTATGAACATCAAAACTGATGCATAGATTGAAAATATATACAAAATTAAAGGTCAGACTATCGGAAGGAAATAATTAGTGGGTAAACATCATCGCCTAACAGCCCCCACACACACATGTTTTATGTCATCACTTGTTTATAGAAGCAAAATATAGTTGAGTTGAATGAATGAATTCAATTTCACTCTCTAAACCTCCCCGTCCTCTCAACCTTTGGGCGAAATAACACAATAAGTATATCCTAAACACACTAAGTATACATATGTTCATAATGTCGACACTTTTCCGGCCCCTCCAATACCTCAGATAGTAAATCAGGATAACATAACTATGTGTATTTAATTGGTTTTACAAAGCCAAAGTTACTATCCAAAAATACATTTTTAATTAAAAACGCAAAAATATTTGTTAATTATAAAGTAAACCGAATGTATAAATAAAAGATTATAAATCGGAGCCGGGATTCATAAGGGAATAAGTATTGGTAAGTATGGGACAAAAGTGATGACTTGTATAATAAGCAAACAATAGCTTTAAAAATAGGATTCGGATATGAATTACAAGTGATGAGAACAATAGAAAGAAAAGCGAGCACCTGTATCTGTATGTCTGTATGTGTGGGCCTATAGCTCAGCAGTTTTTATCCCATAATTCGCTAACCTCACTTACCAACCCTGCCGTATATGATCATCACGATAGCTTTGTGAGGTAGCTAACTCAGTGCGTAAATTTCGGGTTAAGTACTGATATTTTAAAAAATTGACGAAACATTGAACAGATGTATATTGTATTCATTCAATCAATTAATGCTTTCTATTCAGACCTCCACTTCTGAATCTATCACTTCATCACTCTTTTAAGCCCAATTCATGACTATAAATAAAAAATTGACGAAACATTGAACAGATGTATATTGTATTCATTCAATCAATTAATGCTTTCTATTCAGACCTCCACTTCTGAATCTATCACTTCATCACTCTTTTGATTTGAATCGCATTTGAATCCAATTGATTACAAATATATGATTCATATGGTATTGCTTTACTATTTTATAATCCAATCATTGAGTTGTTACTTCAAACTTAACAATCAGACATGAATTGTATTAATGAAAGAAATGAAGGAATACTGTATAGTGCCGGACACCGGGAGGTAAAAGGATAGTCGTAATTGTATAACACTGCTAATTGAACAATACTGTGAGTATGTGTTGAAATCATGTCCAACAATCACATTACAAGTTAAATGACTAAAACTGGCAAAAGAGCTATCATTAGAAGCAACTAAAGTCTGTTCATTACAGTATAAATTAGATAACATATTCACAGTATTCAGATATTCATTAAAGTCTATAAAGTTTTATATTTTTAGTAGTATTTTTTACCTTATATTATGATAACTTATAAGAAAATTAATTTGTAAATAATTAATTATTAATTGTATACCATTGTAAGAGCATGTTTATTACTACATCATAGGAATAAGTTTAAAAAATTTTAAAAATCATTTGAAAATTCATAAAAAATATTAAGATGTTTATAAAAAAGACTTACAAAAAATCGCTAAATTAAATAAAAGTAAAACAAATAAGTTACTAAAATAGTGAAATAAATATAAATTAACAATACATATGATAATAACTTAATTATACAAATTATATCAACTTTTATATTGTAAATAATGTGAATATATTACATAAAATAGTATTGAAAATAATGAAGAAATTGTGCATAAATTCATGGCTTACAGACGATGCGATTCCCATCGGAGTGATAGAAAACTAATATACCTAAACATGTCATAAAATACAGGTACGAATACTATTCATACGGAATGCTCGTGTTTATGAGAAAATAATAAATATACACAACATATGAAAAGACATTATGAAAACTATCGCTACTGTTGTGT